CTTAGCACTAAGCAGCGAACTATAGAAATAGACGAGTTGTCCTAATATAGTTTTTTAAGTTGTATATTGTATACCTACCAAAATAAATAACAAAAATATAATGCTTAACTAATACAGACAATACATTGTGAAATGTAGTATTATTTTTTATAGATATTGTCTGATAAGGAGAGGAATGGTATTGGGTACAAAAAAACAGAAAGGGGCCAAAAAATATTAGCCCCCTTATAGAAAAATGTCTAGTTACGTGCCTGGTCTAATAATCGTACAGACGATACATACTTAACGTCATCTGTTTAAAAATTTTGACTTTTATCCCATCCACCCTCAAATGACAATGGCGTACATAAATATAGATTATATAAAAATTAAGATTGCATTGTGTTATCTATAATTATAGTCGTTGTAATGATGTAATTTTAGATTCTGAAGTCTGACCGGAGCGATGAATGTATTGATTTGACCATGATGTGTATTTTATTTTTTTTTGTGTCTGTCATCACGTTTTGGGACAGTAAAAGTGCTTCGATTTTTGTCGTTTGACTTCAGTACCTACTTCGTTCGATCAGAAATCACGTTTTGGAGCAAAAATTGTTTTGATTTTTGACTTCAGTACCTCTTTTGATCAGAAAGTGAATCTAGTTGGTACTTTGGGGGTCAAAAGTAAAAAATTCTTAATACTTTTCTAAATAATCGAGAAAAACAAACTAATGAAGTCGAAGTCGAAAATCAAAGCACTGCTACTAATATTACAAATATTTTTCTTAATAATCGGGATAAATAAAATAAAAATTAAGGAAAAAACGGGAATTTTTACGCACAATCAGTTTTCGACAAAATCAACTTTGGTTTTAGATTTAACTTTAAAAAACAAATGACCAGATACATGAAATTTTCACCGAATGTTCATTTAAGTACCTTTATTTTATCCACTATTCAATTTTCAAAAATTTTCGACTTAAGTTGAACTATTCATAGGTATTTGCAATTTTCGATCATTATTAGTTTTTTTTAAATTAATATCGATGAAAATTTATTTGTGGGGTGGAATAGCTTGAAAATTTAATACAAGGTTTAATACATATCTTAACATATTGTTACAATAGCAGTTGAAAAATAAAATAAATTCATAGTCAGCATTTTTTTTTTATAGGCATTCAAAGTTTGAATTTTGACAACATAGGTACGTAAAAATCAAGAAAATTCACAAATTATTTTAAGCTAGAAATTCATAAAAAATTTTATTTTTAAATCTAAGATTTGAAAATTTTGAATAATCTATAATATATATCCATATTACTCAATGCTACATCCATAGTATATGATCTAAGCTTTAATATTCACTATCACTTTTTAGTTTCTTATCAGTTGTCATGTTTCGTCTCGTGGGTATATTAATTGTTATGTGGTATCTACTATCAGTACTATCTAATTGCTGATTTCTATTTTCTTAATAATTAATCATTTAAAATTTATTCCTAGTTTGAATTTTCGAAATCATAAGTCACGGTATCAATCTTAAATCCTAAGTTGTTTAGCAATATTTTTATTAGAGTTTAAAATAATAATATTTCATCTTCCACTCAATATTTTATACTAAAATTTAAATCATAAACATGGCTGTAGATATGGACTTAAAAAATGTAAGTACATTCTTTCTTATTATGATACTTTTGAATTTTGTTACTACTTAATAATTAAACTTCTTGTGTTGTGTGCGCTATCAAATAAATCATCTTAATTAGTAATTGTTATTTATATTAATAAAAACCACCTATGATCCAACATCTGTAAAAACCACCTTTTTAAATAAATTATGTACTTGCCTACCTTTCATRAATATTAGGTACTACATTCTATTGAATTTATATCAACCAAAATATTTAATTTTTATGAATGATTGTTATATATAACATTTAACTTTTTAAACTATTGTCGTTTCTAGTTGCCTGTCAGAAGGTAGCAAATTTAATATATAAACATATAAGTAATTATTAGGGCTCGGAAGTTGATGAACTAATATTGTACTATGTTAAATTACTAGGTGCTCCTTAAAATGTATGTTATGATGCCTTTTAGATAAATTGTATTGTGTCTAAGTGGTCTGACATTATTCCCTTCTAGATTTAATAACATAATCATGTTGATTAATAGTTACCATGCTGTGTTATAAAACTTTGAAACACTAAATCCTATTCATTGATTTACTGATGTTTTCTATTGGCTTGCAATTTACTCATTGGTTAGATTATGTCTGTAGTTTAAAATATATTTATGATAAAAACAGGTCTGATGGAACTTGACATAACATCAAAAATAAAATTTAAATAAATAACATAAAATTATTGCAATCATCATATAATTAAATTAAAAATTTTTATGAAAATCAATATATCTAACTCCATAATTGTTTTGTTGAATGTATTGATTAATAGCATACAATCATAATTAAATTATTCAGAAATTCAGAACTACTGCATACTATTGTACAAAAAAGTATTTAATAATTGTTAATTATATATTTGTTTCAGGCATTTAAAGAACTTCATGAAAAACTATTATATGCATCTCAAAAAATAAAATTGGCTGATTTGCAAATTGATACTCTTCGTCGTACAAAGCAGCATAATATTCTTACTAAGCAAGAACTAGAGGTATTAAAATTAAAAATACATAACATTGATGTATGGTATACAATATTATTTATATATATATATATATAATATACATACATACATATTGGAATAAGACAGTTTTTTAGCTGGTCGTCACACTCATTGTTTCAAAAGCATTAATGTTTTTTAAAAATAATTTTATTTTTTTAACCATTAGAAAACCACAATATGTTTATTTTAATATTAATAATGTTATTTTATTTAAGCTTTATACTTGATCTAGTGACAACATAAAGTTTTCAGTTTTTGTAAACAAATTTTAAATTTKGAATAAGTAGATYATTAGCGTTAAATGATTATAAATCATTAGTATTAAGTAATTTCATCCATAATTGATAATTGATAATTTTCAGTTTTTATTATTTAGTTGTGCATTTGTCATTTATACTGATGTTTGAAGTACTTTCAGCGCCGCTATGACTTTAAAATGTTTTTCTTTTTGATATCTATAGAAAATACCAAAGGATGTGAAAACATATGAAGCTTTAGGTCGTGCATTTGTATTAACACCAAGAGATGAAGTATTTAAAAACTTAGATAAAGTTAACAGTGATACAGAACAAAAAATTACTGTCTTAGAAGTAAGTATTTCAAATTAAAAAGATTAAAATAAAATACTCATTGATTTTATTTTATTTTAGAACACTAAACAATATTTGGAAGGTAATTTGAAAGAAAGTGAGAATAATTTGCGTGAAATGGTGCAACGTAAAAGAGATGTTGGTGGTGACAAAGAAAATCAGCCAGGCAGTTCTAAAGACTAATAAAAATTTAAATTTGGCTTTTATTTAAATTATAATTTATTAAATTAACTCCACAGTTRGTTTTTTTTTTTAACACCATAACTTTTAACAATACATTTTATAATTCACCTACCAGCAAAAAAMAATTAATAATATTACTTATAAATTATAATAAAATCATTAAAACACTATTTTTCTTATTTTTTCTACCACCCAAATCAAATGTTTAAAAATGGGAAAATTTTTCTACTAACTTACTTTATTGTAGGCATTAGCACAGCATTGAGTAAATCATAACTCTAATAGATGTATTAAATATTTTTATTTGAATACCATGATGAAAGTATATTGCCAGCATTTTTTTATTGATATTTTGTAATAATTTGTATTACTGTATGTAATTTCTTTTTCTATTAGTAATACAGTAGGTTGAACTTATTTTTGCTAAAAACATCACAATATATATGATAAAATTATTATWATGTTGTATATTTTATATTTATATCAAAGATTATTATTGTTATCTTATAAGTTCATACTGTTATACTGTAGAACAGTCTAAATAGGTCCATAGACTTAGAATAAATATATTTAAAATATAATTATG